TTCCTTCCCTCCCTCCCTCCTTTCTCCAACACTGGAAGTTTTTAAGAAGAGACCGGACAGCCATTTGTCCAAAATGGTATAAGGTTTCCTGCCTGAGCAGGGGGTTGGACTAGATGACCTCCAAGGTCCCTTCCAACTGTATTATTATTATTATTATTATTATTATTATTATTATTATTATTATTATTATTATTATTATATAAAAAGAGGATTAAGTTTTTTGGGGGGCTCTTCGGCCCTTGATCGATGCTTTCTCCATCAGGCGTTCCAGAGAGGATTAAATCAGGCCAAGATTAATCATCATCATTAAAGCCACGGCAGAAAAGGCAGGTTGGTCTTCAGCAAATGTTGGCTAAGAAGAAACCAGAATGGAGTTTTTTTTTTCTAACCTCTTTGCTTCTGATTGGGGGGGGGGGTATCAGCCCCTCCTAGTCAATTATCCTAACCAGGAGATCAAATTGGGGCACTGGGGCAATTTTTTCTCCCACCCTCAAGGAACCACGGTTTGTGCACCGAGTCACAAACCAGCCTAAGCCCCGATTGTTGGGTTGGGGGGGAATCGAGCCCACAATTTTGCTCCTGGCAGTGGGAAGGAACCCCTCCCTGCCCCCAAATAGCCCCTTCCCCCTTGCTTATTTTATTGCATTTGAATCCCTTCTGAGCCAGGGACGAGCAGCAGGCTCTCCCTGTCTCCCCTTTGCTCCTCCACAACGACCCTGTAAGGTAGACCGAACAAAGGAGCAGACACACATACATACACACAAGGCTGCCCCAAAGGCATAAAACGAGACAGTCGGGATTTGGGGAGGGGGGGCAGGAGGAGGGGGGGTCCGAAGCAGCTCTCCCCACTTTTCCCAACAGCCCAACCTTTCCGAGACCCTTCCAGACGACCCCCGTTGCCTAACACGCAAGTTCTCAGCGCCGCGGAATACCTTCGCTTTCCGCGCAGCAATATCCTCGGTCACTTCCTGGTCCACGTGGACTTCAGCTCCCGGCATGCCTCGGCCCGCGCGGCCGTAGCTGAGACTTCTGGGAGTTGAAGTCCACAAGCCCGGGGAAATTGCCCGGGTCGCTCCTGCACCCCGCGGGGACCGACTTGCAGGCTCTTTTCGTGCACGGACCCGCAGGGGGGGACTTTGGGGGTGGGGGTCCCGAGCGATTTGCAAAGGGGACCCTGGCTGGGGAGGGTGGGTGAGTGGGTGGGTGAGCGATGCAGACACACACACCCGGTAGAATGGGGAGCGGGAGCCCGGTGGAAGAGACCCTGCAGCCGGCATCCCGGACTTTGGGGGGGGTGTCGCTTCTGGGGGGTCCGCAAAGCATCTTAAGGCGCCTCTCCAAGCCTCCCACCCGGTTAGTCCTCGGCTTACGACGCTTCGTTTAGTGACCATTCAAAATTACAACGGCACTGGGGGAAAGATGTAAAAAAGATGCTGAGACTCTAGAAAGAGTACAGAGAAGAGCAACAAAGATGATTAGGGGAATGGAGGCTCAAACATATAAGGAAAGGCTGCTGGAATTGGGTATGTCTAGTTTAATGAAGAGAAGGACGAGGGGGGACATGAGAGCAGTGTTCCAGTATCTCAGGGGCTGCCCCAAAGAAGAGGGAGTCAAGCTCTTCTCCAAAGCGCCTGAAGGCAGGACGAGAAGCAACGGATGGAAACTGATCAAGGAGAGAAGCAACCTGGAACTAAGGAGAAACTTCCTGACAGTTAGAACAATTAACCAGTGGAACAACCTGCCTCCAGAAGCGGTGAATGCTCCAACACTGGAAGAAAAGACTGGACAGCCATTTGTCTGAAATGGTGTAGGGTTCCTGCCTGAGCAGGGGATTGGACTCGATGACCTCCAAAGTCCCATCCAACTTTATTACTATTATAATTATAATTATTATAATTATAATTATTAAAAGTGACTTAGGACCGTTGCAGCATCCCTAGGGTCACTAGATCAAAATTAGGAGGCTTGGCAACTGACTCGTATGTATGACCTTTGGAGTGCCCGTGGGGAGGGGGGGATGTCATGTGATCCCTTTCTGACAAGCAAAACCCATGGGGAAGCCCGATTCACTCAACAACGGTGTACTGTTAATAATGTAACATCTGAAGCGACTCGCTTACCGACTGTGGTCGCGTGATCCAAATTCGGATGCTTGGCAACTGACTCGGAGTTACGACGGTCGCCGTGTCCCCGGGGTCATGCGATTCCCTTTTGCCACCTTCCGACAAGCAGAGACAATGGGGGGGGGGAAGCCAGGTTCATTTAACGACCGTGTCACTAACTTAACCACTGCAGGGATTCACATAACAACGCTGGCGAGAAAGGTCGTAAAATGGTGGCCAAATTCACTTAACAACTGTCTCAGCCATAGAAATTTGGGACCCGATTGTGGTCGTAAGTGGAGGATCACCTGCCTTCGAAATACGAGTAGAGGACATGAGTCAGCAAGCGAGGCGGCTGCAGGGAAAGCCGACGGGATTTTTGGCTGCGTGGCAGAAATACAATTTCCAGATCGGAGAAAGATGACTTTGGATTCTTCTCAGATCGGATTTCATCTTCTGCCCAGTTCTGAGCATCGACCTTGAAGAATTATTGGAAGGGAAGCTTTAAGTAGTAACAACAACAACAATAATAATATAAAGTTGGAAGGGACCGTGGAGATCATCTAGTCCAACTCCTCCTCAGGCAGGAAACCCTACACCATTTCAGACAAATGGCTGTCCAGTCTCTTCTTAAAAACTTCCAGTGTTGGAGCATTCACCGCTTCTGGAGGCAAGCTGTTCCATTGGTTAATTGTCCTCACTGTTAACGAAGTTTCTCCTTAGTTCTAGGTTGCTTCTCTCCTTGGTCAGTTTCCATCCGTTGCTTCTTGTCCTGCCTTCAGGCGCTTTGGAGAATAGCTTGACTCCCTCTTCCTTGGGGCAGCCCCTGAGATACTGGAAGGCTGCTATCATGTCTCCCCTTGTCCTTCTCTTCATTAAAACAAATCTGCTAGCCTTTTTTTCCAATCCACAAATCTGATTCAAAACTTCCACTTTTTCTGAATTGCTGGGAAATTCTGGAAGTTGAAGTCCATGTGTATTAAAAAGTTCCAATCATGGTTGGGAACTGACCAAAGAGAGAAGCAACCTGGAATTAAGGAGAAACTTCCTGACAGGACAATCAACCAGCGGAACAGCTTGCCACCAATAATCGTGGGCGCTCCATCACTGGAGGTTTTTAAGAAGAGACTAGACCAGTGGTTCTCAACCTTTTTAATGCCGCGACCCCAACCGGTCGTAAGTCAAGGACTAAACCGGTCGTAAGTTGAGGACTAAACCGGTTGTAAGTCGAGGACTACCCAACCAGTCATAAGTCGAGGACTTTCCCTGCCCGGGAGCGCCGTGCATGCGTGGTTCCGCCCCCTGCGCCGGCCGAGGCATAGCTGGCAAGCGGCAGAGACGGAGCAGGCCGACCACCAGCTGGCCCAGCCCAAGGGAGGTAAGGCACTCGCCGGAAAAGGGGGAAAAAATGGCGGAGAAAAAAAATGGAGAAAAAAAATGGCGGACAGCCTTGCTTGGCGACCCCCATGAAATGGTCGATCGACCCCAAATGGGGTCCCGACCCACAGGTTGAGAACCACTGGACTAGACATTCACCTGTCTGAGATGGTCTAGGTTCTGCTCGAGCGGGGGGCTGGACTAGAAGACCTCCAAGGTCCCTTCCAGCTCCTATTCTATTCTATTCTATTCTATTCTAATTGTTATTTCTATTCCATTCCATTCTATTCTATTCTATTAAGTTGCCAGGGTGGAAAAATAATGGTGTGGGACAGAGATATCACCAATCTTGGCCCCTTTAAGACCTGTGGACTTCAACACCCAGAATGCTCTAGCTAGCTGGCTGGAGAATTCTGGTAGTTGAAGTCCACAGGTCTTAAAGGGGCCAATCTTGTCTACCCCTGTTGAAATGATTTAGTTCAGCCATTTTAACCTAGAGATCAGGGAATTAATTAAAGCCCAGTCTTTTCACCTTTGTTGGTATTTTAATAAACTCTGCTTTTTCATTGTGTGGTTTTTATTGACTTATTAGTGTTTATTGGTGAAGCAGACTGCTTTCAATTACTGTTGAGCGGTTAGATCAATCTCTTGGTCAATAAACCAATCACTCTTTGGAACAAATATTTGTATTCTCCCAAGCATCGTCCAGTTTAAAAGGAGGAGAGGAAAGATAAAAGAGAGATTAACCGTTCAGCTGGGCTAATTTTGATTACGATTTTTACCTTACGCAATGCTTTTGTGTATCTTTCCCTGCTGGGGGGGTTATTTTTCTAGCACACGGTGAGTAAATGTAAGCTGAAATAAAAGGTACCGATTTTATAGGCCTTTCTCAAGTTGTTAGCACAGTTGCAATTATGAGTTTAATCAAGCTGCTGCGTTGCATGCCGTCAGTTCCTAGAGATAACGGGAAAAACACTCTGCACGTGCTCTTGGGTGCCTTCCTTTCTGTTTCTCGTCCCCCGCCTTCCCCTGAAGTAGGAAGGGGGAAATTGGGCTTGTGAGGTCCATCCTAACGCATTTGCCCCTTGCTTGTGTGGGAAGTCAGTCCCACCCCCACTAGAGAAATAAATATTTTTGGAAATATTTAAAAGGCAGAATATATTTCCCTAAAGGATTTTAAAAGCAGAAACCAACCCCGCCCACACACAAGTCTCTCTGTCCCAAACAGAAACCCAAGTCTGTAGAATTGCAGATGTGATAATCTTGTCAGAAAGACTGGAGTCAGAAAACTGGGATTAGGAAGAAAGATCCCTAGAATCAACACACCAAAAATCTAAGAGTCATCAGCCCCAGCCCCAGGGAAGCAGGATATGACCCTTGGGACATAATAGGATTAACCCACCACCATCAGAATACCAGAAAGGCACACTCAGACTCAGGTCAAAGTTCATGCCACAGGAACAACTCCAACAAAATGCTCCAGAGGGTATAAAAACCGATTCCTTACATGTGCTCTCTCTCTCTCTCTCTTTTCTTCCAGAGCCATCTTCCTGTCTGGCTCTCCTCTTCAATAAACTGCAACCTTCTTTCTAAAGCAGTCTCCGTTTTGTTTATTCCCGGCTTGGACTGAACCATGATGAAGACTTCCTTCAACAATTGTTTGAACTCAATTCCTCACTATTTTGCACTTCCTGGATCCAGGGTCTCCAGTGTGGGCAACTTTTAAGCATGGCTGGCTGGGGAATTCTGGGAGCTGAAGTCCACAGGTCTTAAAAGTTGTCAAACTCAGAGACACCTGTGTTAAATCAAACTTTTCCTCAGGGTACGATTTAATGGGCAGCCCAATTCTGCACGCCAGCTAGGTCTGTTGAGAGGGCAAACGGTGCCCAACGTTGGACGTAACAAAAAAAAACCTTGGGAAATAAAATGAATTTTATTTTTGGGCAGCCCCTCCTGATCCTAAAGCTGGTGGCAAGCCAGACAGCCTTTCGCACCGAATTCCTGGCTCTGCAAAATGATGGCAAAATATTTTGCAAGTATGCAAAACACAAAACACATGATAATTCCACAAATTGTGTGTGGGTGATGAAGTATTCCTAGCGCGCTGGAGAGCCGTGTTTGCAAACAGCCTTTTGATTCGGAGTTTGGGACGGCGGGACGCAGCGAATCTGGAAGCAAAACTCTCGAATTCTCTTGCTTTGGATTCAAGACGGGGCTTTTCAACCTCAGCAAGGTTGAAGAGATATGGACTTCAACTCCCAGAATTCCCTAGCCAAGGAGGGAATTCGTACTGGCTGGGGAATTCTGGCAATTGAAGTCCAACACATCTTCATGGGAAACTAAGAGATGGTAAATTCTAGTTCTGCCTTAGCCATGAAAGCTGAGTGGGCAACCTAGAACTAAGGAGAAACTTCCTGACAGTGAGAACAATTAACCAATGGAACAACCTGCCCCCAGAAGCGGTGAATGTTCCAACACTGGAAGTTTTTAAGAAGAGACTGGACAGCCATTTGTCCGAA